TGAGGACTGTGCTTCAGACTCTAAGAGACAAGAAGTTATATGCTAAGTTCTCGAAATGTGAGTTTTGGTTGGATTCAGTGGCATTCCTAGGACATGTAGTATCGAGTGAGGGTATTCAGGTGGATCTGAAGAAAATAGAGGCCGTGCAGAGTTGGCCTAGACCATCCTCATCTATAGAGATCCGTAGTTTCCTTGGCTTGGCGGGTTAATACCATCGTTTTGTGGAGGGGTTTTCATCGATTGCAGTCCCCATGACCAGGTTGACCCAGAAGGGTGCTCCGTTTTAGTAGACAAAGGAGTGTGAGGCGAGCTTTCAGAAGCTCAAGCCAGTTTTGACCACAACGTCAATTTTGATACTACCTACAAGTTCGAGGTCTTATACGGTCAATTGTGATGCCTTGAGTATTGACCTCAGAGCGGTGTTGATGTAGAATGGTAGGGTGATTGCCTACGTGTCCAAACAGTTGAAGATACATGAGAAGAATTACCTTGTCCATGACCTTGAGTTACCTGCCATTGTTCACGCCCTGAGAATCTGGCACCATTATTTATACGAGGTTCCTTGTGAGATTTATACTGATCATCGGAGCTTGCAACACCTATTCAAGCAAAAGGATCTAAATTTGCGCTAGAGGAGATGGTTAGAGTTGCTGAAGGATTATGATATCACTATTTAGTATCACCCGTGTAAGGCCAATGTGGTGGCCGATGCCTTGAGTCACTAGGCAAAGAGTTTGGGGAGTTTGGCTTATTTACCAGCATCGGAGAGACCTATGGCGATGGATTTTCAGGCCATAGCCAACTAGTTTGTGAGATTGGATCTTTCGGAGCCCAGTCGGGTTCTAGCTTACGTGGTTTCTCAGTCTTCCTTATTTGATCGTATCTGGGAGCGACAGTATGATGACCCTCATTTGCTTGTCCTGAAGGACAAGGTTCAGAACGGTGATACCAGAGATATGACTATTGGTGATGATAGGGTACTCAGGATGCAGGGTCGGATTTGTGTACCCAATGTTGATGGGCTTCGGGAGTTGATTCTATAGGAGGCCCATAGCTCGCGATATTCCACTCATCCCGGTGACGCGAAGATGTATCAGGATTTGAGGCAGCACTACTGGTGGAGGCGGATGAAGAAGGATATAGTTGGATTTGTAGCTCGGTGCCTTAACTGACAACAAGTGAAGTATGAGCACTAGAGATGGGGTAGGTTGCTTTAGCAGATAGAGATTCTGAGTGGAATTGGGAGCGGATCACCATGGACTTTGTAGTTAGGCTCCCACGGACTTTGAGAAAGTTCGATGCTATTTGGGTGATTGTGGATCGACTGACCAAGTCCACTCACTTTATTCCTGTGTGTACTACTTATTCCTCGGAGCGGTTGGCGGAGATTTATATCCAGGAGGTTGTTCGTCTACATGGTATTCCGATTTCCATCATTTCGGATATAGGTACTCAGTTCACATCACGGTTCTGGAGAGCCGTTCAGCATGAGTTGGGTACTCGGGTGGAGTTGAGTACAACATTTCACCCGCAGACAGACGGACAGTCTGAGTACACTATTCAGATTCTTGAGGATATGCTCTATGTGTGTGTGATTGAGTTTGGAGGGTCTTGGGATCAGTTCATGCCATTGGCGGAGTTTGCCTACAACAACAACTATCAGTCCAGCATTTAGATGGCACCGTATGAGGCTTTATATGGGAGACGGTGTAGATCCCCGGTGGGTTGGATTGAGCCGGACGAGGTTAGATTATTAGGCACAGACTTGGTTCAGGATGCTTTGGAGAAGGTTAAGGTGATTCAGGATAGACTACGTACAGCCTAGTCCAGACAGAAGAGTTACACGAACCGGAAGGTTAGTAATGTTTCCTATATGGTTGGAGAGCGGGTTTTGCTTCGGGTTTCGCTTATGAAAGACGTTATGAGATTTGGGAAGAAGGGAAAGTTGAGTCCGAGGTTTATTGGCCCTTTTGAGATATTTAGGCGTGTCATGGAGGTTGCTTATGAGCTTGCCTTACCTCCCAGCTTGGCAGGAGTTCATCAGGTATTTGATGTTTCGATGCTCCGAAGGTATCATGGTGATCCGTCGCACCTGTTAGATTTCAGTTCAGTCTAGTTGGAAAAGGATCTATCCTATATTGAGGAGCCAGTGGCGATATTGGACAGACAGATTAGAAAGATGAGGTCGAAGAACATTGCATCAATAAAGGTTTAGTGGCGGGGTCAGCCAGTCGAGAAGGTGACGTGGGAGACCGAGCAGGATATGCGTAGCCGTTACCCTCATCTTTTCACTACTTCAGGTATGTCTCTATGCTCGTTCGAGGATGAACGAATGTTTAAGTGTAGAAAGATGTGATGACCCGGCCGGTCGTCTTAAGAATTAACGCCCCGATTCCCTATTAAATGCTTTCCCCTTGTTTATTTATGCTATTTTGATTTGCCGGGATGCTCGGTTTTGAGTTTTAGAGTGTTTTAGGACACTTAGTCCCTAAATGAGAGCTTAAGTTTTGGAAATTTGACCGTAGTTGGAACAATGTGAAGACGGCTACTAAATGGAATTCTGATTGTTCCGTTAGCTCCGTTGGGTGATTTCAGGTTTAGGGGCGTGTTCAGATTGTGTTTTGGAGGTCCGTAGCTAATTTAGGCTTGAAATGCTGAAAGTTGAATTTTTGAAGTTTCCGGTTCGATAGTGAGATTTTGATCCGAGGGTCGGAATGGAATTCCAGATGTTGGAGTAGTTCCGTAGTGTTAAATATGACGTGTGTGCAAAATTTCAGGTCATTCGGACGAGGTTTGAAAGACTTTTTGATGGTGCTGCAGATATGGTACATGATGTTTTTCCCTGTGTATTCGGGCATGCTATCGTTGTCACCTTGTGGAAGGGTAATCTGTCGTCTCAGCTCAGTGGTAGTGTTGTATGTGGTTCGAGGATATGCACAGTGTATTGTGATATTCATGCATTGTTATTGCACAGTGCTAGTGTAAATGGTAGGATGCTTAATTATGTGTCGCGACAAGTAATGACTTTAGAGAAGGATTATTCGGTTCATGGTTTCGATATTTGGCATTTTATCCTAGTGGAGGAGAGGCAATTGGACTATGGATATTCAGTCTTTGGTTGATGGACAACAATATCAAATATTTTAGAACTTGGTGGAATTCTTATTTGTGATGTGGTGTTGTCGTCCTAGTTTGAACGTATTAACGCTCGACGGCTCGTTAGTGTGATGGTCTTCATTTGTTTAGATTTAGGGTACGGTGTCGTGAAGTGGTACCTAAGAAGCAATTATTGGAGATGATGGTGTATTGCGATTGTAGGGTCGGATCGGTTCCTCCAATATTAATGGCTCGAGGAGGATGATAATTAAGGAGGCTTAGAGTTGGTAGCAACATATTAGTTCAGATGTTATAGATATGGATTATAATTTAAGACAATATTTTAGTAGCAAAGCAGGATGAGGGACATGGAGGGTTATGTCTCGCGTAGTTGAATTATTAGCAGGCCAAGTACGAGCAACAAAGATCGAGTAGCTTGCTTAGGAAGATGGTTTAACCAAAATGGGAATGGTAGCATATTTTATGGAATTCGTGGTAGGATATCCACATGTGGCACTTACGCTTTGCCCTTAGGCATATATAGTTAACTATTTTGGATCCAGTCTCTGAATCGGGTTATGACTCGAGCTCATTTTGACCATTAAGTTTTCAGATTTCAGGCAGGCAATGATGCGACCTATTGTGTGTGTGGCGCTGAGGCTCGATTTCGAGTAACTTACTGCGATGTTCGAGCACCTCAAGAGGTTTGGCTCGGAGGCTGAGTAGCTCGAAGCTTGTGATTTGGAGCCGACATGGTCGAAGCTCATTTGCCTATGTCGAGGGTAGCCTGTTTAATCGGTTCTTTCCGAAGTAGATTCGGAGTAATTTGAAGGCCTGTGTAGGCTGGCGACAATGGCTCTTACGCGTTGTAGCGACGGTCGGGCATCCACGAGTCACGTTAGTTCAGCTGGTACAGCCGTGTGACTGGAGTCACTTGTGTTTGGCCGAAGCCTCTGAGTCCCGAGTGAAGTAGTTTCATTATCTATATCAAGGGTATGACTTTTTAGGGGTCTTACATGTTCGATATATAGCCGAAACTTTGGGATCAGGTTTATGCCTTTAGTAAGGTATTGCAAGTTTTACATGCCGTTGAGGTCTTACTATTTTGTACACTTGGTACAAGTATTGTTCATGCCTTGCTTGAGGTCTTACAGATATAGTTGCTGCCTTATATAGGTCTTGTGGGGTCTTATGGCCTTGTGTTTTGATAAGTCGATGGAGGTGGCACTTGATGACAGTCCCCGAGTCGTCGAGGGTTTCTTGACCCGGGAGACATTATTTGCAAACTTTGTATTGCCTTATCGAGGGCTTACGGTTTGGAGATCCCGACCCTGGGGTCACGCGATTTTTGAGATATCGGTGCCAGTCCCCGAGTGTTCGGGGTGCTTTTGGCCTTGGAGATGTTTCGTTTTTTTCATGCTGCCTCGTTGAAGGCTCATGAGTTTGGAGTTCCGACCCTGATATCATGCAGGTATCGAATTGTTGATGCTAGCCTCCGAGTATTAGGGATGTCTTTGATAGAGGAATCATTTTAGCGAAAATGTTGAGTTTCCTTTGGAGCATGAGATGCTTTGACAAAAGGCATTCTTTGATTTCCTGACACAAGAATACAAAGTTTCATTGTCGGGGGACCGACTATATAGGCACAGTTCGTTCGACCGTTTGGCCCGATACATCATTTTACTAATGGGAACATGGTGGGATTCCCTCCAGTATTCGGGGTTGATTGCAAAAAGAAGCCTGGAATATTTGTTGAGTCTTCCTTAGGTAGCATGTGGATGTTGCCTCGTTAAAAACATTGCCGATAAAACCCTTCTAGGGATAAAATTCGGTCGAAGGAAAAGAGTGCAACGGATGCTTGAAGATGTTCTCGGAATTTTCCATCTGATGCCCTAGGAATAATATCATTTTTTCATCGATATGTTCCAGTTGCTTGGAAGTTGTTCGCCCTCCATGGTGCCGAGCTTGTAAGACCCTTTGCCGACTACTCCGAGGACGCGGTACGGTCTTTCCCAATTTTGGCCCAGCTTTCCTTCACTATGGCTCTCGGTGTTAAGGGTGACTTTCCTTAGAACCAAGTCCCTAATTCCAAAATATCGGAAGTTTGTTCTCCTGTTATAATATCTTTCGATCCTTTGCTTTTGGGCAGCCATTCGGACCAGCGAGGCTTCCCACCTTTCATCCAGCATTTTGAGGGTCGTTGTCATGGCCTCGTCGTTCGAGCTCTCAGTGGCGTGTTGGACTCTGGTGCGTGGCGCCCCGACCTCTACTGTTATCAAATCCTCGGTGTCGTATACTAGAGAGACAGGTGTTTCCCCTGTGCTCGATTTTGAAGTTGTTCGGCATGCCCACAGCACCTCTGGCAATATTTCTCTCCACTTTCCCTTGGTGCTTTCCAGTTTCTTTTTTATGCTTTGGATGATGGTTTTGTTTGTGGACTCGGCCTGGCCGATCGCACACGCGTGGTAGGGCGTTGATAAGATCCGCTTGATTTTGTGATCCTCGAGGAATTGTGTTGCCTTGCTCCCGATGAATTGTTTGCCGTTGTCACACGTTATCTTGGAAGGAATCCCGAATCAGCACATGATGTGGTCCCAGATAAAGATGATGACTTCTTTTTCCCTTATTTTTTTGAAGGCCTGCGCTTCCACCCATTTGGAGAAATAATCAGTCATAAATAAAATAAATCTTGCCTTACCTGGTGTCATTGGCAGGGGTCCGATGATGTCCATCCCCAACTTCATGAACGGCAATGACAATATGACCGAGTGCAGTCGTTCACCAGATTGGTGAATTATCGGGGCAAATCTCTGGCATTTGTCACACTTTCGGACGAATTCTTTGGTGTCCTTTTCCATGCTGTCCCAATAGTAGCCTGCTCTGATTACCTTTTGGACCAAGGCATCAGCACCAACACCAGAATTATTTCCGCAGATGCCCGCATGAATTTCTCGGAGTACATAATCTGTATCCCCCGGCCCCAGACATACGGCTAGAGGGCCATCAAAAGTTCTTCTATATAAAGTCTTATTTTCATCGAGAGAGAATCTGGCTACTTTGGTTCGCAGGGGCCCTCGATTCCTTTGGGTCCTCGGGCAATTTTCCATCTTTTAATTAATCAATGTATTTATTTCTCTAGTTTCATGTTAGATTGGTGGAATTAATCTCCGCATGACCTTCCTCGATAACTGATTTAGATAGCTGGATGATAGCCTCGGGGAGTAGGTCATCTTCCTCTATAAATGATCCTAGGTTTGTGAGGGCATCGGCCTCGCTGTTCTGCTCTCGAGGTACATGGACCAAAGTCCATTCTTTGAAGCGACGTAATGCAACTTGGATTTGTCCAAATATTTTTGCATCCTATCCTCTCAGACCTCATAGCTCCCATTGACCTGGCTCACTACTAGGAGTGAATCGCATTTTGCTTCGATGGTCTTGGCTCCCAAGCTTTTGGCCAATTCTAAACCTGCAATTAGTCTCGTACTCGGCCTCATTGTTAGTCAATTTTGCAATTTTTATGGATTGCCTGATCACGCCGTCCATTGGTGGCCTTAGGACTAAACCTAGTCCGGAACCCCTCACGTTCATGGCACCGTCAGTGAACAGGGTCCATACCCCGTATGACGTGCATGATTTCAGTAAAAGTTCCTTTTCTACCTCGGGCACGAGGGAGGGCGAGAAATCGGCCACGAAGTCTACCAGAATCTAGGACTTGATGGTTGTTCGAGGTTGATACTCGATATCATACCTCCCGAGCTCGATGGCCCATTTGGCCAATCGACCCGATAGTTCGGGTTTGTGCAATATGCTCTGGAGGGGGTATGTCGTTAGAACACAAATGTGATGGCATTGAAAATAGGGTTTCAATTTTCGCGATGCACTTATCAATGCGAGAGCCAATTTTTTGAGGCGAGGATACCTAGTTTCAACATCCCCTATAGTTCGGCTTACGTAATAAACAGGGAAATGCATACCTTGCTCTTCTCGAACTAGCACGCCCCATATCGCTATCTCGGATACGGCCAAGTATAGATATAGTGTTTCATCCACCTTTGGTGTGTGGAGCAGAGGTGGGCTAGTCAGATATTGCTTCAGCTCTTCGAATGCGCGTTGGCACTCTAGAGTCCATTCGAAGTTGTTCTTTCTTTTGAGTAAGGAGAAGAAATGATGGCTCCTATCGGATGACCTGGATATGAATCTGTGCAGGGCCGCTATCCGACTTGTCAGCCGATACATGGCCTTTACATTATTTACCACCGTGATTTCTTCAATAGCCTTGATTTTATTGAGGTTAATCTTGATCCCCCTATTTGATACGATGAAGCCTAGGAATTTGCCCGAACCTAATACGAAGGCACATTTCTCGAGGTTGAGCTTCATGTTGTAACTTCTAAGGATGTCGAATGTTTTCTACAAATGAGTTAAATAGTCCCCTGTGCGCAGGGACTTAACTAGTACGTCGTCAATATAAACTTCCATGGATTTTCCTATTTGATTTTCAAACATTTTATTAACTAGACGTTGGTATGTAGCCCCTACGGTTTTCCGTCTGAAAGGCATTACATTGTATCAGTAGGTACCATACTTTGTGATGAATGAGGTTTTCTCTATATCTTCGGGGTTCATCTGAATTTGAATGTACCTCGAATAGGCATCAAGAAAAGTGAGGGTCTCGTGGCCGGCCGTAGCATCGATCACACGATCGATGTTAGGAAATGGGAACAAATTCATGGGACATGCCTTATTTAAGTCTTCATAGTCTACACACATTTTTACTTATTTCACTTTGTTAGTACCACTACTACGTTGTCCATCCACTCGGGGTATTTTACCTCCCTAGTGGACCCTATTTTAAGGAGTTTCATTCCCTAATCCTTGACGAATGCATGCTTTATCTCGGGTTGGGGTCTTCTTTTTTGCTTCACCAGTTTAAACCTGGGGTCAACACTCAGTCAATGGGAGGTTATTTCCACTGGGATACATGTGATGTTTTAGTGGGACCATGCAAAACAATCGATATTATTGATAAGAAATTGAATAAATTTTTCTTGAGTTCGGGGGTTAATCCTGTTCCCAGGTATACCTTACGATCGGCGAGGTGCTCGATCAAAACAACTTGCTCTAGATCTTCGATTGTTGATTTCATTGCATCCGACTCTTCGGGGGCAACGAAAGTTCGAGGAGTGAGGAAATCTTCTTCGTTATCCTTAGGGGTCTGTATGTTCCCAGACATGTCCGAGGTCGGGAGTACGGGGGTCGACTCCCCCTGATAAACCGCGAACATTTCTTTCGCTTCACATTGTTCTCCGTATAAGGTCATTATGCCATTCTTTGTCGGAAATTTAATCATCTGGTGTAGGGTTTACGGTACTGCCCTCATGTCTTGTATCCACAGCCTGCCAAACAATGCATTATATCTTATGTCTCCATTGATGACTTGAAACTTTGTGTTCTGAACAGAGCCGGACATGTCGACTGGGAGGGTGATTTCTTTTTTTGTTACTTCGCCGGTCATGTTGAATTTGTGGAGGACCCGGGAGGCGGGTATGATCTGGTTGAGTAACCCGAGATGCTCTACTACTCCCAACCTGATCACATTGGCCGAGCTGCCTGGATCCACAAGCACACGTTTAACTCGTACGCTGTTTTAAAGGAATAAGAATACCTTCACGCCATTGTGTGGTTCTATCAAGGTCTCGAGATCATCTTTGCTGAACGCGAGGGTGTCTTCGGCCACGTGCTCTCGGATTGGCCTTTCTATTTCGGCAGATATTTCTGTCTTCTTGATCATGGGCCCTTGGGGAATGTCGGCCCCTCCAAAAATCATATGAACGGCGTGCTGAGAGATCCATTTTTGTGCCCAGGCTAGAACAACCACAAAACTTTCTCCTCGGTCTTCCAGTTAGTTGTTTTCACCTCTGTCTGATTAGTTAGGCATTTCAACCTGAAATTTGAAGACCTTGGGCAGGAACAAGTATAATGATAACTTGCGTTGTGTGACGAAACCAGCAAGAAAATAATCGCTATTATTTTTAGCCCCACGGTGGGCGCCACACTGTTTACCATGAAGATGGTAATAACAATTAAATTTGTTGATGGTACTCTAAACATATGTGATCTATTTTTATGCTAGTTTGTTAAGCAGTTGTTGTTAAGTATATGAGATTTAGAGGCGAAATAGAATTAAGAAGAGAGCTACAATCAAACCGATAGGACAGTTATTCGGAGCCTCGATCTTGTCAATTCGGAGCCTCGAGGTCGATTCCGGGACTCGGACTTGAGCTATCGTGGGTGATCATGGTAGGGCTAACAGAAATGAAATAATCAACAAAGGCGTTTTATGGCCAATGATAAGCAATAAATGATGAACAAATATGTAGACAATAAATGAAAGCAATAATATCGAGAGAGTATATGAGAGAGCAAAGAGAAGGTTCTTGTATATTTTCTACGGAGCAGCTGAAGCAACAGAGTTTACAAGAATGGTAGGAATGCCCCTTATATAGGAGGGGAATCATAACATAGTACAAAATACATTAACTACTCGGATACAGGGATGGGACAACTAGATATGATGTCCTGACGCCCTACATTTGGTTTAGAATAGCCCCCTAGGCTCTGTCAGTCTTAGCCAAACGTCTTGGGAACTTCCCTCTTTTCTAATATAGTTGTTGTCTGCATTACCTCGATATCGGGCCCCGATGACCCTTGACAGTGAGCCTCGACCTCGGTCTCGAACCTCGAGAAGCACGTTCGCGGGGCACCATAATGATGAGGAAATTGGACACCCCCGATTTTACCGTACACCGACCATACTGCTCTTTGCTATCTTATGGCAAAGAATGATGCAAAACCTAGGTTGATTCGGTGGGTCCTGTTATTGCAAGAGTTTGAATTCGAAGTCAAAGATCGAAAAGGGACGAAAAATCAAGTGGCATATCACCTATCTAGGCTTGAAGAGGTAGGGAGACCAAAGGAAAATCTTGAAATCAATGATGCTTTCCCAGATGAACACATATTGGCATTGTCTAACACAGTTGCTCCTTGGTATTCCGACATCGCTAACTTCTTTGTTAGTGACCTTGTTTCCAAAGGTTTTGAAGCTTATCAAAAGAAAAAGTTCTTGCGGGAGTGTAGGCATTACTATTGGGAAGAACCCTTCTTGTTCAGTAATTGTGCCGACAACATCATCCGGTGGTGTGTTCCGAAAGATAAGGTAATTCCAATTCTCAAAGCATGCCATGATTCACCGGTTGGGGGTCATCATGGAGGAAATCGGACTGTGGCAAAAGTGCTTGAATGTGGCTACTATTGGCTAACAATCTACCAAGATGCAAACCAAATGGTCAAGGAATGTGACCAATGTCAAAGACAAGGGTCAATATCTAAGAGACATGAGATGCCAATGAACTTTGTACTAGAGGTTGAGATCTTTGATGTGTGGGGAATAGACTTTATGGGCCCCTTCGTGAGCTCGTATGGCATGACCTACATCTTGGTGGCTGTGGACTATGTCTCTAAATGGGTTGAGGCAATCACCTTACCGAACAATGAAGCAATGAGTGTGACTGCATTTTTGAAGAAGAACATATTCACAGGGTTTGGTACTCCTAGGGCCATCCTGAGTGATGGTGGGTCTCATTTCTGTAACAAGGTTTTCGCCGGGCTGCTTGAAAAATATGGTGTAAAGCACAAGGTGGCCACACCCTATCATCCTTAGTCGAGTCGTCAGGTTGAAGTTTCGAATAGAGAAATCAAAAACATCCTAGTGAAAACTGTCAATGCAAACAAGACCAACTGGTTAAGGAAGCTAGATGATGCGTTGTGGGCCTATCGCACAACATTCAAGACCCCCATTGGCACTTGCCGTACAGGTTGGTTTTTGGAAAAGCTTGTCACTTGCCAATGGAACTTGAACATAAAGTCATGTGGGCTTTAAAGAAGCTGAATCTTGACTGGGCCGAGGCTGCTAACCTGAGGATGACACAACTCAATGAGATGGAAGAATTTCGTCTCCATGCATATGGGAGTGCAACCATGTACAAAGAGAGGATGAAGTTTGTCCATGACAAAAAGATCTTGAAGCGGGAGTTCAATTCTTATGACT